CTTCCCGAATTGGTTTTTTTTTTTTTTTTTTTTTTTTGACCTGCAATAGCTTTCTAGTGTTTTGAGGTATCTTCTCCTGTCTGAAGTCTCTATTGTAGTCTCCTCACCTGTCACTGATTTGAAGATTTGTTCAGTGTGGCTTGACATAGGGGCCAGAATTGCTGCTTATGCTGTGTCGTACCTTGTGAATGTCCTTCCTAAAATGTATCCAGCAGTGAATACAGTACTCCAACTATGGTCTGACCAAGGAAAAATACAACAGTATTCTAGTTCTGATGCATTCACTTGGCTGAGTCATCTTGGGCACATCATTTAACTCAACAAACATTTAGTAAACTAAACTTCTCTAGGTCCAGTTGCCATCTCTGTAAAATGAGAGGTTAGTTAAACTAGTTAACTAATCTCTAAGGTCTGTTCCGGCTCTAATAGTCTTATTCTAAAGGTTAAAAGCCTTTTGAAGACTCCTGCATTGCTAGGTTCAGTATATCTTCAGAGAAACAGTCTTACTGGTAAGTACCTGGTAAGGGTTTCTCTTTAACCACCTTCTCAAATACAGTTTCTCAACCTTAGTTCAAACTAAGAAGATTATGCTTTTTGGTGAGAGATGCATTTTTGTAGTTTGCTACAGTGAGAAATGTTTGGATATATATGTGTGTGTATACACATGCATACAGACATATATGTTATTGTTTAGTCATGTCTGACTTTGTGACTCCATTTGGGTATTTGAACTTTTATTAATTGGTCTACTCACTTAGCCAAATGCTAAACTACATGATTGGCAATTAATTTTAGGTGAGAGGATGATCTATTTCCAGGTTTTATTTAATGAAGTTAAGGGAAAAGTATTAGTAAAAGATCAGCTCTGTATTTCACAAAAAGGATATTCAGGATTGAGATTTACATGTTTGTTTAACACAGAGGTATCTACATATATAATAAGGCAAAGTGCACAAGTCACCCCATGGTTTTTAGTCAGGCATTATGGGAGTCTAGGTGATCAATCATTAGAACAGTGCTCTAATGGAATGGAATGAAGAGGATATGGGAATGAACTTCCCTAAACCCTGACTTCTTCCCCAAATTCATCTTGAAGAAGGTGGTAAATGTTGGTACAGAAGCAATTTCTAAGTCAATGAAATGTCAATTCATATATTAGTGAAAAATGTTACAGTGATGAGTAGAAATCATGATTTAAAAGGTACCAGAGAAGTGCTATATTAATATAGGTGTGTGGAGAAGGAAAATTAATTCTTCCTTATTCCATAATGAAAATCCTTTAAATCGCCTAAAACCTTCCTTTTAAAAGAGCTTGAAATTTTTTAATAAAAGAACATCACTAGCCAGTGATTACAGCTTCATGGCTAGAAACATCCCTGTGTGATGTTCCTCCAAGATCAGGCAGGGTGAGCAGATGTGAAACAAAATGAAATTCATATGATGTCATCTTTCTGCGCTCTTCCAATACCAAAAAAAATATGGCTTTTTGTCTTTTAGATGGAAACAGAAAAATAGGTTAAAAAAAAAAGATTAACCATGAACCCCTAGGTCCATGTCCTGGAATAGGTAGCTTAGCTGTGTCCATATAGCCATTTAAGAAAACAGCTGAGTACAAATGAGTGAATAGGGCAAGAAAAGTAAGGGGATTTCTTCTGTATACACCTGACAGGTTTCTCAAGGAGTGAAGTAGATGCTGAGGAGACTGTAATCTTCAAATCTTTGTAATTAAGGTGGAAGTAGTCCCTTGACCAGTAGTAAACCAGGAACATTTTGCCCAGGGCCTAAATTTGCAGATGAAGAAACTGAGGTCCAGAGAAGTTAAATAATTTGCCCAGGGTCACAAAAGTAAAGTGTCAAAGGTGGAATGTGAACAGAGGCACCTAATTCAGGGCTTTTCCCATTGCACCCTTGTGCTTCAGTTATGGGATGTATTATTGTTGTTATATGGATTCTCACTGGAAAAAAAAGCAGAGGAGGGGGGGCCTTTTCCCACTAAGTTCTTACCCTATCCTCAGTTATAGATCACAAACTTATAAATTAAAACTGGCATTCAAGGCCCTCTGCAATCTGCTACTACCCTAACTTTGTAGTCATTATCACATATCACTTCTATTCCAATACTCTATCTTCTATAGAAGATGTTGCACAGGGCAGTCTTCAGTCCCAGATGAGGATGGGGTTTGATTAGGTTACTGAGCATTAGGGAACTGGGGCATGTCCAATGAGAAAAACTGATGATATTGTAATCAGTATTGTACCATCTTGAGTAACACCTGAGAGTTACATTGCTCTAGTCACAAACAGTCCAAAACTTTATGAACATACCTATTGATTACTTGCATGCAAATCTGACACTCCCCCTCCCTGTAATCTCTCATGGCAGAAATGGATTCTAAATTTTCTACTTTGTAGATTCAAATTTATTTTAATAATAAAACTTTATTTCTGACTTCTGTGTTGCTTTCTCCAGCTTTCAAAGAGACTTTGCTGTTTCAGGAGCAGATGTTTACTTCTCTCTGATTTCTGCCTCTCCTGATGTTTGTCAAGGCAGAAGATAGTGAACAACTTGAACTCTTTGTAATTAAGACGCTAATGTTTGAGAAAAACAAGACGGTAATTTAGGAAAATTAAATATTACACTTTAAAAAAGGCAGGGGATGGTAGTTATTTCTCATAACAATCCTGCAACTCTTCAAACAGAACCTAAAATAGGAACTGGGAAACCTCAATATGTGACATGAGGACCAGAGGAAGAATCCTAGTCCTACTCTCTACCTCTCTCTGTAGATTAGAATGGGTGCTTCAGTATTTCACTGCTCCTACATGTGCTTCACAAAGCCCTAGCCAGCAGTTTCTTTCCACTGGCCACTGCAACAGAGACTTCTTTTCTGTTGCTTAGAACCATAGGGAGCTTGTCAGCTAGGTGGCAGTGTAGATAGAGAACTGGGACTGGAATCAGAAAACCTGAATTCAAATGTGACCTCATACTTCTAGCTGTGTGACCCTGGGCAAGTCATTTAACTGCTGTTTGCCTCAGTTTCCCCATCTGTAAAATGGGGATAACAATAGCACCTGCCTTCCCAGGTGGTTGTGAGGATCAAATGAGATACTTGTAAAGCACTTAGCACAGTAGAAACTTGCTGCTTATTTCTTCTTTTCTTTCTGGGGGTGGAGAGGGTGGGACAGGAAGAGGGCTTCTTTATCATACGCACATTTGGAAATACCAAGTCTCGATTTCTGTATGGCACTTAATACCCTCTACAGTGTGGTCCATGCCTGTAGTGTTACCTTCTAATACTTATATTAGGTGATCAAATTGTCTCCTAAACATGATCCTGTCTCTATATCTTTGTTTAGTCTTTTCTCATTTCAGAATGCCTTCTTTTCTACCTGTCCAAGACTCAGCTTAATTTCCTGTTTCTTTGTGAAGCTTTCCCTATTTTTGGACTGTTCCAGAACATTCCAGTGCCTTACCTTTTTTGAATTCTGTTACGCATATAGTTAGACAACAAAAGCTAAACTGTGTGGTACTAATTCTTGGATTCACAATTGTAGAGCTGGAAGGGACCTTAGAGGTCATCTACTCCAACTCTCTCATTTTGTAAATGAAGAAAGTGAAGCCCTGAATGATTAAGTGACTTGCCCAAGGTCTTGTGTGTTAGTCTCTCCTTAATTAGGTTATGAATTCCTCTGTGGAATGGACAATTTCATTACTTTTCTGCATCCTCCATAGTGCTGAACACTTCTTTTTGGATATCTTTTCCACCTGGAATATACCAAACTGGAACTTGGATTGTTAGAAGCTATATGGGGCATTCCTTTAGGAGGAGGGAGTATTGTGTCCTGTCTTTGGAATTTGTGAACTCACCTCATCACCTGTAACATCAAAGTTCTTGAAGATCTGTTTCATTTCCTGGTTTCTGAAATTAAAGAGGAATCGGAAGGCTTCAAACTGCCTTAACCTAACCCTAAGTGCCCCATCTCTGTCAAGCAGCTCAAACACAGGCCGGGAATGTCGATAGAGAAACCGCTCTTCCAAGTGATTCTGTTTAGAGAAAGGTAGATATAAATCTCAAGTAGGTACATCAGGTTAGTGAGTGCCTTCTAAACATTAATTCAGGAAGGAACTTGATATTTCCATTGATCTGTCATTCCCAAGACGGCAGGGAGGGTTTGAAGGGGATGAAGTTTCTTTAGCCTTTCTTGATTGTACGAGGGGTCCAAATCTATTCAGAAACATTTAAATTAATCATATAGGGGCCAAGACTATTCCCTTTAATCTTCTTTTAAAAGCATGATCAATGGAAGGTAAATTTTGTTGGAGCCTATATTCAGCAGTGCCTTAGCAAAACAGTGATAGATGTGGTAAATTGTGGTAGATGCTTTGGTATCTATAATCAAAATGATTTTTACTTACCTCATGTGACAGTAGGACACAAACGAGCATGTAGAACTCATCAAAGCCAATCTCTCCTGTGGCATTCCAATCCAGCATGTCAAACACTATCATAATTTGGTTCCTGTTCAAGTCAGTCACGTGATGAAGAAAGTGATAGAAGACTACATCTGAAGGAGAAAAATATACCATATTTCTCTAATGCTTACCCACATGCTATACTGGGATCCATAAAAACAATACAAAGAAACTAAATGTTCCAAGAAGTCCATTAACATGGCAATAACCCTTCTCTGAATTTCTAGTGCACTTGAGATTCCTTCCAAGGGCTCAGATTTTTTCCTTTGAAATCAGGAGAGCATGGTTCATGGGGTTTAGACATCTAGTTTGTTCTCCTTATTTTACAGATGAGGAAAATGAGACCCAGAGAGATTAACTTGCTTAAGATCACATAAGTAATAAGTAGGGTTAGGGTTTATGGGAGAACATGGGCAAAAGTCACACAGGATGCATAAATGAGTTGCAATGTCCAACAATGGGAATACACACATTGATGAGAGATCCATCCTTTGTTAGAAAGTATTGAAGCATTTAAGTATTTATTGAATGCCTTTAGTATGTCATGGATTGAAGAATGTGAAAGCTTCTTACACAAAGCAGTGTGCACGATGCAGGGATGTGTGCTTACATTTTGGTGGAATGGGTTAGGATAGAATGGCCAACAGCTTCCAAATTATGTCAAATATATTGCTAGGTCAGTTCCCAATGATAAGTGACCCCTTTCCCCAGTTGTATATGTATATGTATACATATATATATACATATATGCATATGTACATATATTAGATGGATGTTCGTTATGTTACAGTTTCTTATTTATATACATATACATGGCAACCCATCTATAATGCATCTGCAATAGTCATCTCTTGCCTTTCTGTATCATATTATTTATAGCTGGAAGAAACCTTAGTCCCTTCTCTTTATTTTAGAAATGAGAAAACTGAAGTGACTTGCTCAGAGACATGGCTTATTGAAATCTTTTGATTGTTCTGAAGTCTTGATTATTATCTGGAAGGATTCATGGCAGTCCATCATTGGAAGTATACTTATCAAGTCAAGGGTACTGACGACTCAAGTCAGGGCAAAGGGAATATGGTGTCAGGGAAGTGGCAGCATAGTGGGAGAATTACCGTATTTGAACTTGGGACCTGAGGATTCAAATCTTAGTTCTTACCTGCTGGAGGCTTTCCTCTAGATTTCTTGACATTGTGAGGGTACCGGTGGAGCACACAGGCTGTCTGCCCATTAATTTCACGCTACATTCTATTTTACACCACTTCCTCCCCTCCCTATGTCTCTACATTGCCTGCTGCGTACTCTGTAACTTTAATTTAATTCTTAGAGATTGTTATGTTTGATGCTTGAAGTCATAAAGCATTGCTGAAAGAATATTAATCTTCAAAAAGATAGGCCTTTGTTCTGGGGGGTAACTTGAGGTAGCACTGCACAGTTTTTCAAATGCAGTCCACCCTGCTTATTGCTTCTCATTCAGTTTTAGGTCTAGTTCATTGACTA